ATAAAGGTGGTGCAGAAATTGCAGGAGAGATCAACCAATGCCTGGCCCAGCTAGAGACTCACACCATGAGAGGGAGCTCACCCCTGAGGGCCAGGACCCACAGGAGGGATAGCTCTCCTGGGTGTTTTGTGGTCTCTGTGTGGAGCCCATTCAGTTTGCTGTGTGAGTTAGAAAGTTTTGGACAGGAACTGGGATAATTTCCTATGTAAATGTATTTAATGCCCCCGTGCTATACCTTAAAATGGTTAAAATAGTAAACTTTGTTACGCGTATTTTATTACAATTTTCATTTTTTTTGTTTTTGAGGCAGAGACTCAATATGTAGCCCAGGCTGTCTTCAAATCCGCAATCCTCCTGCTTCTGAGTCTGTGGAGCTGGAATTTCAGTCGTGCATCATCTGTCTGGTTATCTAACATTATTTTTAAGTGATAAGTCAATGTAAGGGTTGGATAAACGCTTCAGTTGGCAAAGTACTTGCTTTGGCAAACATGCAGACCTGAGTTCTATCCCCACAATTCACTTAAAAAACAACAACAACAGCAAACAAACAAACAAAAACCCCTGGTGTGTTGACCTGAAGATGGTCCAGTAGCTAAGCTCACATAATACTCTTGCAGAGGGCAGGCGTTCAGTTCCCAGCACACATATCAGGCAGCTGACAACTACCTCTGACTCCAGCTCCAAGGGACCTAATGCTTCTGGCTGACACCTGCATTCACATCCACTACCCCGCAACACACACACGCACACACACACACAATTAAAAACAATAGAAATCTTATTTTTTAAGAAAAGGAAGGAAGGAATAGAAGCCAGGTGTGGTGAGCGGTGGTTCAAGCCCCCATAGCCCTGGGGAGGCAGGGATTCCTGAGCTTGCTGGCCAGCTGGCCTAGCCTAATGGGTGAGCTCCTGGCCATTGAGAGAGAAGGAGACAGTTTGAAGACCAACCCCCAATCTTATCTTCTGGCCTCTACAAGCATGTGCATGCAAGTTCATGCACTTGTGTACATGCACACACACACACACACACACCACACCACATAGGAAAAATGATATTTAAGATTGTTATAGCCAGGAATGTCAGTACAGCCCTATAATCCCAAATGCCCAGGAAGCTGAGGCAGGGGAATTACAAGTGAGGCCAATCTGGACAATTTAGCAAAATCCTGTCTTAAAATTCAAATAAACAAACAAAACAAAACCTGTCTTTCACAGATAATTATTATTTCTTCTTTCTCCTCTTCCTTCTCGTGCAGGGGCGACCCCAGGGCCTCCCACAGATGTTAATCAGTGTTCCCCCACCGTGTTAGAGCCTTAGGCTCCAGATTTCCTCTAGTTCCAAAACGTTCTTTCCTGGACCCCAGGAACCATTACTGTCTGGGTAAGTTACTCGATTCATCATATTCTGCCTTTAGCCCTGAAGAATTAAATATCTACAGTTACAAATATTCCCATTTATTTGGGGTCTTGTTATAGACTGGCTCTCATCTGAGGACGGCCACACCCTGTTTTGAGGGACAGGCTCTAGGGCTCATGCCCAGGTCTGATTAACTGTGTGTCTTTCAGTTGTTTATCTTTAAATCTCTGTGCTCCCTGGAGCCTGAGCCTGCCTTGTTTCAGCTTCTCTCTCTGTTGGCAGGGATCCAAGGCCGAGGGCCACTGCTGATGGCCACTGGAGAATTAGTGAACCTCAGGTTTTAGGAGCACACATCAGAAAATGAGGGTGGGAGGAGGGCTTTGCCCCTGGCTCATGTCCACGCCACCTCTCCATCCCTGACTGAGGAAAATGTCACTTCTGCACCCGATTAGCAGTCTTCATTAGCCTGACCACAGAGGGGGGCACCAACACACTGGCTTCATGAGAGGTGCCTTTATTACAAGCTGACGTGAGCAGGCAGGCACTCCTCAGCAGGTAATGCAACAGAAGTAAAAGACGAGACAGTCCTGTGAACCCAGAGAGCAGCAGCCTGGGTCCGAGACCACGCATGACTGTCTGCCCTGGCCTGTCTCCCTACAGAGTCTGGGCCAGAGTGCGGTTCCTGAGAACCTCAGTGCCCCTGTGTGCGCCTTCTTGACCACACCCTATCATCCCCACACTCGGACACAGACAGGAAGGGAAGAAGAGGACAAGGCTATTCCTGCTTTAAAGATATCTTATCGGAGATAGTGGAGATGGTGCCATCTAGTGGTTCATAGCTCCCTTCAGAGGAGTCCGACACAGGAGTCTTTGGGTCAGTTTTGGCATGGGATTCCTCTGTGAAGGCTCCTTCCAGTTCGTCCTCCTTCAAGGTGGGCAGTGTGTTTTCTGAGGAAGGCTCCCTGGTGGGTGTTTGGGTGTGTTGAAAGTTCTCAGTGAGCATTAGTGGTTTAACTGTGTTCTTGAATGGCATTGGTCTCTCGTTGGGGGCTTGGGCAAAATGGGAAATGTCTGGGGGGGGGGGGTTCTTCCCACTCCTGGCTGAGCTTTCAAAGTGGACTTCCGGTGTCCACGGGCTTCTTACTGCTCAGGCCGGAGGCTTTTTAGGTAACTGTGAAGCTCCTTGAATCTCAGATTCTCCTTTTGGGAGGTTTTTGCTCTCAACATCTGTGGGATAGAAAAGACACAAATACAGATTCCTCAAAGGTCACTTCTCTCAAATCCCTAACAGAACTATATGGCATCTGAGCCATGGCTCAGTGCTAGCTCCTCTCCCTCTAGACTGTACGGAGTTCGTTATGATCCTACAGCTTAGCGTGGGGGCAGGGCATTGTAAGTCTCTAGCTTACCATGGATGGCCACAGAAGGGGAGGACCAGCTTTTGCTCAGGGTTCGCGACTCATAACCTTTAGTTATAAATCTATTTAAATTAAAAATAAATACATCCTCCATTAGAATCACAACTCGTTTGTTTGTTTGTTTGTTTGTTTGTTTGTTTGTTTAAGGCCAAGTCTCACTTTATAGCCCAGGCAGGCTTGGAATTCTTTATGTAACCTATGCTGGTGACACATCAGGGATTGCAGTGTTCGGAAGGCAGAGTCGGGAGTATCAGGACATGGAGGCTATCCTGGGCTACAGAGTGAGACCTGTCTAAGAAGGGTGGGACACTCATTCCAGAATGATCTGGGCTGTGGTTTTGCCAATGTCCCGACTGTGCTCAGTCTTTGTTCCTTCTCTGACTTTAAATTTGGTCCCATATCCTATGGATATGTCTTGGAGTTCCAATATGGCTTTTTATTCCATTTATTTTCTGTTTAGATCAGGCAAAATTAGTTTCTGTATAAGGCAACTATGAACTATTTTAAGAACTGTGTAGATCTGGATGGCAGAGGTTGCAATAATGCCTTAGAAAAATTACCAAGTTTATAAAATAAACAAAAAAAAGAAAAATTACCAAGTTTAACTTGAGCTCATCACATTGAAAAGCTGATAAGAAAATAAAGTGAGTGGAAAATAAATCTAAAGTAGTTGTTGTTTGTAATAGTTCAAATATCTGGTCAGAGGAAGGCAAGGAAGAAAAAGCTTGTTTTGGCTCATGGTTTGCGCGAGACAGCCCATCATTGCTGGGAGGAGAGGAGAAGAGAGTGAGGCACACAGAGACCACAGGGAGGAAGAGGAACGGGATGGCTGGTGACAGCCACCTGACCTTCCTGATTCTTTCCTTCCTTCTATTCCAGCTGGCCACCTCACCCACGTTTAGGGTGGGTTTTCCCTCCTCACATAAACCTGTCTGGAAATGTTCTCATAGGCACATCCTGATAGGCAGACACTGGGTGTGCTTCCTGGGTGATCCTAAAATCCAGTCCAATCGACAAGAACAATTACCCATCAAGTTCTCTTCAACTGTTCATGGTTTATCTGGCACAAAGTATGTACCCAGTAATGTAACTCATGAGTGTACAAAGACATGCGCGTAAACACCTCTTCTGGGAACTCCCAGGGATAGGTGCTTGGACGTGTGCAGTCTGCAGTGAAGACTCCTCCAGGACCTATTCCAGTCTCTATGGTTCTGCCCTTGGTGTCTATAGGGAACTAGCACCGGGATCCTTAGGAAACCCACATCTCTTCCGTAAGACGCATATAAACCCACACACCTTCCATATACTTTACATCATCTTTAGATCTAGTGCCCAGATAATGTAAATGCTGTGTAAATAGCTACACTGTGTTGTTGAGGAAGTGCAGTCATGTGCCCTATAGGGACATTTCAGTCATCATGAATTGAACACACGATACTGGTCACACAAAGTCACAACAGAACTGAAAATTCTTGTTTAGTGACGCTGATGCCATCTTGAGTTAGAGCATCGTGTAGCCAGTACACGTTTATGGGGATGCCAGCTATATAACAGGTACAATTGGAAATTTGTGGCCATGATAACACGTGACTGCATTGTTATGTTTATGTATTTTATTGTTATTTTCACATGCTACTTAAACCAGGCAGCTAAATCTCATGTTGTCAAGTCTCTAGATGACTTACATCATTTTCATGTGATTTATTTAATATCACCCTGTTTCATTCATCATTGCCCAGGAGCAACAGACACACACACACACACACACACGAGGTTGTTATTAAATGCATCCTAAGATATTTGCATATTGATAAAATAAGCTAAGCAAGCTCTTTCTGGAAAGCACCTCATGCTGAAGTGATGAGCACTGAGGACAGGAACAAAGCTGTGTGTTCAGTAATCAGCACTCCTTACAGCCCGACTACATCAGTAACCAACATACCCTACAGCCCGACTACATCAGTAACCGGCACACCCTACACCCCGACTACATCATTCACACCAGCAACAACTTCACTTTGTTCCCACTGGTGCTTGGCTGAGTCTGCAGATGGGAACTCAAGGACAAGGGGCCTGACTACATTTCCCTGCTTTTCCCTGGTCCCCAACGCTCAGTCCCCCTCACACCCGCCCTCTGCTCTCATCAGGGCAGAGATGAAGAGCAGGACCTGTCTTGCTGAGGCCATGGGGACAAAGGAAGGAACATGCAAGCCTTCTGACTTTACCTGCAGATGCGCTGGTAGTGTCTTTGAGCCACTTCTCTTTCTTAAGTTCTTTCACCCTAGGAGGAAGCAGACCACACATCAGCTCACAGGCCTCTTTCAGAGAGCATCATCAAGGCAGTACCCAGAAGAGACTCTTGAGCGAGTGCCTGTGCTTCTTCCCCTTTAAAAGGTGGGCTGCCAATAAGAATGATGGATCTAAAGAGCCATGGTCTACCTAAGTTACATCTTTCTTTGGGGCTGTTGATTCTCTCACACATCTTAAAAGCACAACCCTGGGCTGCAGAGGTGACTCAGGGCTCAGCTCTTAGCACCGGCTGCTTTTCCAGAGGACCCAGTCTGATTATCAGCGCCTACTTGGTGGCTTGCAACCCATCCGTAACTACAGTTCCAGGGAACCTGACACCGTCTTCTGGCTTCTGTGGGTATGAGGTACACACACACAAACAGTAAACTATTAAAAAACAAACTAAACCAAACCCTGTATCATTTGTCCTGCAAGGATTCTTAAATGTCATTCTCAGGGCAGACATAAAAAGGAGAATGATCTAGAAAGAAAACGCAATTTTTCTCAAGGTCCTCCCACAACTAAGACGTGAAGCCAGGGCTACAAGTCCAGTGCCCCTGATCTGTGAGTTCCTATGGGGGGCGGGGGTAGAGGCCCTTGTTCTGGACAGTTCCAATCCCTGTTCTTTCTCAACAGATCACACTGAATTCATAGTGAATGCTGACTGAACTCCAGGCAGGGGGAGGGAGGGAGCCGCAGGCAGGGTGAAATGAGAGGCTCGGCTTATAAACTCTCCTTGCCATGGAAGGTGTCAGAAGAAAATAACCTTTTCTCAGTTTTCTGTAGAACCCATTTGTTACTTTTATTTAGAGGGCTTTCTCATTTAGAATTATGAAAAATATACTTACCAGTGATAATAAAATACAACGCCAATGATAATTGCAGAAGCAATGACCATGAAAAGCCATATGAACGTATAATATCCTGGTGTCTGCAAAACATGGACAAAACCAAGCTCAAGAACTCGACGATTGAAAGGTTTTCAGTCCCTTGCTCATCTGCTCGGGTTGAGGGTCTAGAGGAAGTGGGGACAGAGGAGATGACCTCCAGCTATTCCAACAGCCACCTGCACACATGCAGGGGATCTGCAAGGACTAGGATGTGCCAAGCCCTTCATCTTCCTTGACTCTCAAGGCAGACATATACAGAAGTCACAGAGAAGTCACACACCAAGTCTGTTCTGGACCCAGGACTCCGGTCCCTGTTATCTGACATCCTGGGTTCTGTTTCTGTAACATGGTTTCCAGAATCTAGCTCACATCCATATTGTTTGGGAAGCCTTCAGTAATGCAGTCTTCTAAAGCTACCAACAGACCTAAGGGATCAGAAGCACCAGGTTCTGCACCCCCAGGTGATAGGGAAGCAACTAGTCTATGAGCCAGCATCTGGGCACCGCTGTTCTGCCTCAACATTCTTCACAGAATGCTGGATTATATGTAATTCCCTCTGACGCACATACCTGCCTCTCCAGACTCTGCCAAGCCCAGCTCTTTGTCCCCGCACTCTAGGGGCTCTGTCTCCCGCACTGATTCACACGAATTTCTACTCCCTGGTTTGGTGCTTCCTCTCCTCATTGCTCCTGTACAGTGTTACCTGATGCTACGGAAGCTGGTGCTTCTTAAACCCAATGCTTAACTTTCAAAGGAGCAAAATTAAACTTTTCTTTTAAAAAAGATTTATTTTATTCATACACATGCACGTGTATACATACAGGAATTTGCAGAATCCAGAGGGGACATTGAATCCCCTGGAACTGGACTTCAGGGCAGTTGTGAGCTGCCTGGCGTTGGTGCTGGGAACTAAACTTAGGTCCTTTGAAGAGCAGCAAGCTCTCGTAACCCTGACCCATCTCTCCAGATCCTAGACTGTTTGTTTTCCAGTGGGCCATGGCAGAGTGTCTCTCCATAGTCCCAGCTACTGGGGAAACTGAGGCAGGAGACTGGCTTGAGGACAGCATGAGTAGCACACCGAGACTCCTCACAACAGCCTGTTTTCTGTCGCGTGCTGCTGAGTCCCATGCAGTCAAATGACTCAATGCAGACAAGAAACCCGGGCTAGCCACAGCTCCCCCAACAGGCACTAAGTGGTTGGATTCAGCTGTGACTGTAAACCAGTCTTCAGAGCCAACAAGCGTCACCAGGGGGCCAGGGTGGGGCAGCTGGATGCTGGCTTACCTATTTACCGTTGTATTTGAGACACAGTTTTCCCTATGTAGTCAAAGGGGTCCTGCCTTCTTCCCATAATATCCCTGTGACTGTTGTTTTTGCCGTGTGTGTGTGTGTGTGTGTGTGTGTGTGTATGCGTGTGCATGTGTGTGTGTGTGTGTGTGAATGTGCTTGCACATGCTCAAGCCTACACCTCATCACCAGGACTCTCACATCATGAGAACATGGACCAAGACACCTTTGAGCTTCAGTGCCCTCATGGGTCTAATAACAATAGTGTTAAATTCAAGAGCTTAAATTGCATGCAAAGTGCATTGTGAAGATTCAGTTAACAAAGAACCCAGGAGACTTTTGGTGAAGAAGGGAGAAGGCACATCTCTGTCCTTCAGAGACATCTCTATTCTGAAGTAGCTGAACAGGGAACTACCAAGGGAGGCTACAAGGGGTGGGGGAATCACATCACAATCACACCAGATTTAGAGGGATCCAGACACGCAGCTCACCATGAAGAAGAGTGGGTGACTGAGCTGGTTCAGGACCTGGATGTTGTCTGTGGTCACAGAGTTGATCCGGTTGCACCAGGCCAATGAGAAGAGCCAAGGCTCGTTGACAATGTACATATTTATGTGGATTTTAGCTGCCTGATACTGTCTGGAACAAAAACACCCCACAGAGGATTTCAGCTCAGTTGTACTCTTAATAACCAAAGGGGAACAACCATGTTTGTGAAAAATCAGCGGACAACAGTTGGCCCAAGGACAGCCTAGGATTCATTCTGACAGAATGGGCTCAGGGGTGGGCTGGCTTTCACCAGCTGTAGCAGAGCACTGGTGGGATGTTAAAAAAAAAAAAAAAAAAAATAGGAGACCCTTCTCAGCGTTACAAATCTGCAAATCCTACACTAGAGCCGAGCTACAGATGGACCTTCTGCCTGACCCAGGGAGAAGAAATCGTACGTGAAGGACAGATTAGCAAAGTAAGGCCAGCTGTCTCCTTAGCATTCGAGTTCTCAGAAAACACACCACGTGCCTTCCTGGTGCTGCTAAGATCAAGTGTAAGTACATCCCCAAGTCCTTTTGAGCCCTGATACAGAAGTCACACTGGAAAGTACAAGTCTGCCATACCCTAGCGTGGCAAGCTCTGTGCTTCAGAGCAGAGACTTAAGACAGTAACTATGCCTTTCGGCAGGACGTGCGGCCAGGTTCCTGCCTCTGAGGAGGTTCCGCAGGTTGCCTAGAACTTTAGAAAGAAATTAATGGAAAAAACAGTAAAAAGTTACTTCTCTGTACTATTTGAAAGTGCGACTTGAAATTCAGTGTTTCTAAATATGAACAAAGGATATAAAAACTATAGTTTAAAACATAACATCCTTAATAGTTACTTCAAAGAAAACGAGCTATTCAGGGATGAATGTAAGAAGCACTAAGGGTGTAATCCTGACAGCCGTGAAACGTGGATGGAAGCGAGAAAGGCGAGGCACAGGGTGACGACTCACTGGAGCAGAGCCGCCAGCCGTTCCCAGCTCATCTGTAATGTCAGCCTGAGTCCTGGAGCAGGCCAGCAAAGGTTGTCTGTGCCATTAGGTCAGCTGATCCTAACGCATAAGCAAAGACGCAACTCTAGGAAAGTTAAGTCTTTGGGGCGGTATAGGAGGTGTGACAGAGTCTCACTCTACGGTGAATGATGGTCCCGAACTCACTGTGTAGTCCAGGTGGGCCCTGCCAGTCCTGTCTCCCAGATGCTAAAGAAGACACACTTCAGTCTGGAGAAATGTAAGGAAAAGGACATGCTTCACCCGATAACGAAGCTGAACATAACCATGCAGTCAAGACAGCATGGTGCCAGAGTAAGAACAGACACATAAGTCAGTGTCCTAAACAGAAACCCAGGAACAGACCTATGCAAATTTGCTCAAATAACCTGTGCCAAAGCTGTCAGACAGTGAGCGGGAGAGTGGATTTCCAGCCAGTGCCCCAAAGGACATTAAATTCTCAACCAAACCTCAGACTATGTATAAAAGTTAACTCGGGATGACTTGCATGCTTGTGCACATAATGTAAAAATATAAACCTTACGGAAAACATAGAAGAACAGAATTCGGTCAGGTCTAGAGCTGAGCAAAGAGTGGGAACTGAGCTAAACGCTCACTTCCTCAATGGGAAAACTCAGAAGCCAGTCTTGTCAAAATAGAAGCACTGCTCTTGTCTTGTGGAGACCTTGTGCCCTGTTAAGAAGATGCCATGAATAAGTCACAGACTAGGAGAAAGTGTTCCCTTTCATAAAGACTTATTTCTATCTAATCATTTGTGTATGTGTGTGTGCCTGATATTTGTGTGCAGGGGCTCACGGGGTCCTGGAAAGGGTGTCAAGTCTCTGGGAGCTCCACTTCTGGGTGGTTCTGAGCCCCCAGCATAGGCGTTGGAAGCCCTGGGCCTTCTGGAAGAGCAGCAGTGTACACACACACTCACCCACGGAGCCTCTCTCAGTCCCAGGAAAACCTTTCCAAACCCTATGCAACAAAGGGTGAAAAGAATCCTCAAGATTCAATAATAAAGAGCAAGAATTGAAATGAAGAAACCCATAAGCAAATAAATGCAATATCATTAGCCTTCAGAGAATATACTTTTAAACAGACTGATTTGCCTACATGCTCGTCAGAGTAGATAAGATTTAAAAAAGGATGTAGACACTCTGGATTGTGTTGTTAGCAAAAAATGTAAAATGGCAGTCTTCCTGCAAAAGTCTGGCTGCTTCTTATACAACATTCAATCATTATACCCCAGAATTTGAAATCTTGGGTAGTTATCACTGAGAAATAAAGACGTATATTTGCATAAAAGCCCAAATGTAAACAGGCGGAGATAACCAGGTGTCTTCTGGTAGTAACTGACTAGACAAACTTAGGCACACACACCATGAACACTATTTGGCAACAACAACAAAAATCAAATTATGGATAAATGAAACACAATGAAAGCAATCCCCAAGGTTACATATAATATGAGTTTGTTCATTCCTGAAGGAACAGCACTATAGACAGTTTGCTGGGTTAGGACTTTAGGGAAGGGAGGGAAGGGTAGAAGGACAGAATGTGGCTGTGGAGGATGGAAGCAAGAGCCTTGTGCTGACATTCCCGTCTCCACCACGGCATTATTCAGTGTCCACAACAGGTAACGTGGCCACCAACAGATGAATAAAGTGCTGACCTACAATGGAATACTACTCAACTTTTGAAAAAAGAAATTCTTTTATCTTCCCCAATATAGATGAACCTGGAAAACACTATATTGCATAAAATAAGCCGGAGGTAGAAAGACAAATATTGTATGATCTCACTTAAATATGGAATCTTAGTCAACCTTACCAAAGGGCAGAGTGAAATGTATAACAATACCTGTGGAGAGGCTGGAAAGATGGCTCAGCTGGTAAAAGCATGGCCTGCTCTTCCACAGGACCCTGGTTCAAATCCAGTACCCACATGGAGGATCACAACATCTGTAACCCCAGTTTGAGAGGATCTTATGCCCTCTTCTGGACTCTGTGGGTACTACACATATGTGATACACATATATATACACAGGGACACACATAAAATAAAACAGATCTTTAAAATAAGTATTAAGTGCTGAGAAATGAGAGTACAAAGAAGGAGTATGCAGTAAATGTTTGTTGGCAAAAGAAAGGAGGGAGAAGCAACAATGAGAGAGCAGAAGACCCAAAGATGGTAACCAAAGAAAGGAATCTTATGGCAAAAAAAGGACTTTAAGTAACTGTTCGGAAGATTATGTTAAGGGGTGTTATTCCTGTTTATGTTGCATTGGTTTAACTCTGTGAAGTTCTGATACTGTGCCTGTCTAGCACACCAGAGGGTCTAATGAAGATTTGAATGGCCAGTAGTAAGGAGGAGAAAGGATAGGCGTGGCTGGCAGACAGAGAGAATAGATAGTAGGAGAAATCCACGGAGTAAGACTAAGATTTGCAGAAGTAAGAGAACAGGGAAATCCCAGAGGCAAAGGGTAGATGGGATAATAGAAGTTAAGTAAAAGCTGGCAAGCAACAAGCCAAGCTAAGGCTGGGCATTTGTAAGTAAGAATAAGCAAGCCTCTGGGTGATTCATTTGGGAGCTGGGTGGTGGGCCCCCCTAAAGAGTCAAAAGAGAAAAAACATCTACTATTACTACTACAAGTAACTTGGGTAGAAGCAATATTCTGTAAATGTCAGAGCGGCCAAACACTTACCTCACCATCCGCTGGTAGAACAGCCTCTTGTAGTCAACATTTACTATCGTCATGTTCTCTTTAGCGAGCTCCTCGAGGGTTCTTAAACGGCCCACGTGCTGGAAACCAGGAGCCTTGAACCTGACATAGTCTCTGTCGTAACCTGGCAACCAAAATATCTGCAAGGAGAAACAGCCTGTCCACTGTCCCAGCACAAACTGCCCAGGAAGAATGGGCGAAGCCACTCCAGCATGGGGAGCAGTCTACAGGAAGCAGAGAAGGAGTCTAGCCCTTGTAAAGCAATCGAATTAGTTATCTCGTCTAATGAGCTCTTAAAAATGGGGACGGCTGCTGTGGAATTGAGTTTTCCCAGGACCTTTCCATCCTCCAGAGGAGCTCCTTAGGTTTCCTGGGACCAGGGCAGCTGCGGCTCATCTGTGGAAAGGGCTCCATTTGCAGAGACACATGACTGTTTAACTCAGAGCACTGCTGTATTCTGAGAAGTTAAGGGATAAAAAAAATAACTTTGCAATTAAAAAGAATGATTCTAAAAGAAAAAAACAAACAAACAAGGAGCAAATCTCTACTCAACTAAGAACCCCTGGTCTTTCTAGACCATTCTTTAAAGCTAAAGTCCTCAGAGTTGTATTGACATGAAGCCTCATAGGTCTGACATGACCACGGGGCAGTCACACCAGAATTACTATATACACTATTATTTTTTTGTGTGGTGCGAGGGACTGAGCACAAGGTCTCGTGCATGCAAGGCAAGGGCTCTGCTGGTAAGTTATAATCCCAGCCCTCTTTTTAAATTTTCAATTTTGAGGCAAGGTCTTGCTAAGTTGTATGGTTGGTTTTGAATTTATTCTCTAGTCCGTGCAAGCTTTAAACTTGCAGTCCTCCTTCCTCAACATTCTGAGCAGTTGTAATTATAGTGATGTATGGCTGGGTCTGATTTATACACATTATTCTTTTTTTCCTGCTCATGTATGCATATGTAACATGCACGTACAAATGCTCACAAGTATGTGGATGGACATGTGTGCACATGCACATTTGCGTGCATACATGGAGGGGCCAAAAGTTGACACTAGGTATCTTCTCCCACTGTTTTCTACTTAATGTTTGGAGACAGGATCTCTCCCTGGACCTGGCGCTCACCAGTTCCAGCTGGTCTAGATAACAAGCTTGCCCTGCCTCTGCCTCCCGAGGGCTGGAACTCTCTGGTGGCTGCCAGGACTGGACAGCTTTTACCTGGGTCCTGAAGATCTGAACTTCTGCCTCCACGCTTGTGTGCCAAGTGTGTCATGCACTGAGCCATCTCCTCAACTCCTGTGCCATTCTTTAACAATGTACTACTCCTCTGTTTGGTTCAGAATAGCAAACAGTCCCAGTGTTTTCCCTCACTGGGTAATTTTAACTGGGTCACTCTCCGATGGCCACCTGTTGCTGTACGGATAATTATCTCTATTTCCAAAGGGCACACAATCCCTTGCAGACCCCAGAGAAGAACTGCATGGCAGGTTGAATTCAGCTGCTATGCTCCAGACAGGCTGCCCTCCTCCCAAGCCCAACCAAGGATGGGGAGAAAAACGTACCAGATGCTGCTCGATGTTGGAGTCAAGGATGACCTTGACCACTCTTCGAACGAACGTGTTTCTGAGAGGATGCTTCGGTGGAGGGCCGAAAAGATCAAATATTAGAAACTTTTTTTCATTTTTTGCAAGTTCTAATAACTCAGCCAGAGATGGAATTGATTGGTTGCTTGCTCTTCTTTTATCAGCCTCTGATAAAGGTTTCATGCCAAAAAATGGCTTATGCTAAGAATAAATGTATCAAAACAAAACAAAACATTGGCTTTGGTCAAAAACAGCCCAGGTTTGCTGGTCTGTGGTTCTGCTCCATATTGCTCCACTACCACTTCATCCAGTATGTCCTCTGACACACAGACTCTGAGATATAAGGGAAATAGAAGGACATCTCCATTGGCAATTGTAGGGTTTGGAATGATTTCTTTGAAACTCTAGACTTCTTACACATGTACTGATATTCTCCATGTTCTAAGCTTTCCTTTCTAGTCCTCTGTAACTCTCAGTATCCACCCCTTTTGACCATACCGCCTTACCACATTGGCTCTTGCTGTCACAACTGTGTGTCAGGGAAACAACAGTGCTTTGGTTTCAGGGTTCATGGGATTTAATCCTAGCTATACCCCTCATTTGTTTATCATGTCAGCCTGCTAAAGTCCTGCTCTCTGCCCGTCCAAAAGCTTCCTCCTTCATGAAGCTTTTCTAAAGTATTCCTGAACTAAGGGACGTTATTGTGCGTCTATCCGTGTATGTCGTGTTCTGACTTGATGTATTCACACACAACTTAGACCACAGTTTAAATCCTCACTCGGTATGCTTCTTGCTGCTCATTATCTTTGCAGTCAACCTTACTCGAGTTTTCAGGATGCTGGCATTACCTAGTCAGTTCTTTGCCAGTGTAGCACATAAATGGGCTCTAGCCAAGCTCTGGATAAAGTCCTCATTTCTCCCTGAAACCTTAGGAGTTGGCTTCCACTGCCCATCTTTCTCTTCTCATTCTTGTCTTCCAAGCTCCTACTATAATCACCCATTAAGCTTTGTTTGCAGCGTTCAAAGGCTTTTCTAGGCCAAACTAAAATTCCCCACAGTCCTGCAAGCCAGTTCCAGTCACAGCAACAGACCCCACTTTTCAGTACCAACTTTCTGTATTATTTTTCTCATTGTTATACAAAATATCTAGCAATAAGCCATGGGAAGGAGGAAGGGTTTATTTTGGCTCACAGTTGGAGGGAACACAGTCTGTCACTGCAAAAAAAGTCATGGCAGCAGAACCTTGACGCAGCTGGTCACACTGTGTCTGCAGTCAGGAAGCAGAGGGCATGAATGCCAGTGCTTAGCTGGCTTCCTCCTTTTTATTCAGTCCAGGATCCTCTAGCCCGTGGAATGGTGCTGCTCACAGTTAATGTAGTTATTTCCAAATCAATTAATCTAATCTAGATAATCCCTCACAGGTATGCCCAAGCTAACTTAATACAGGCTAACTTCAGATGATCCTCATAGACAGGCCAGGAAGTTTATTTTAGGTAACTGTATATTTTGTCCAGTTAACAAACAATACTACCCTTGTTCAATATTCTTGACTTTTAGTCGCCCAAACTGTAAAACCGAAAAGTGATGTAGTAATGGATGTGTTTCTTAGGATTGTTTTTTTGAGCCAAGATCTTGCTATGTAGTTTAGACTGACTTCAAACATAATACTCCTGCCTCAGTCCCCTGGCTGCTGAGATTATAGCTCTGTGATACCACAACCAGGCCTTCGGATATTTTGAAGGTTAAGCATGTATCTGATGGACTTACTAGCAGACTGGATATACTGAAAAAGAATCTATGCACTTGAGGGTTGAATGAGATAAACTTCCACAACCAAGAGGCACCAAAGACTGAAGCCTTATCAAAACATAACATCCAAGGATGAGGGGCTATCACCAAGAAAGGTAAAAGTATCTACATCCCCATGTTATTAGGAGCATTATATGGGGTAGAAGAACATGAAATCAGCTGACCTTCATCAATGCTTGAACACTGTTGAGTCTCAACATATAGGGAAATCACGTCATCTGAGATAACATATACCACCTTGCAGGACACTGTGCTCAGTGAAATAAGCCTGGTACTGAGTGACAGAGGCTAGCTTCGCTTATGTATGGAATCTAAGAAGGCTTTACTGATAAAGGCAGAAAGTAAGGTAGCGGCTGCCACGGAACTGGTGGTGGGTACTAGAGTGATGGGGAGATGTTAGTCAAAGCACACACAGTTCCCTAGCAGAATAACTTCAAGACCTTTTCTGTGTGCTGACCATAGCTTAAAAACTTACTAGTTCTTGAAATAATAATGCTAGAACATAATTTAAGCATTCTCATCACATGCAAAATAGCATGTGTAGTAAGACACTGATTAATTAGTTTGATCTATCCCCTACATATGCAGACATATTTCAAGGCAGCCTGTTGGGACTGGGCATGTAGCTCAGCGGTAGAGGACATGTCTAGCATACATAAGGCCCTAGCGTTGATCTTCAGCACTGCAAAACAAGCAAGCAAACAAACACAAACAAAAACATATACATCATAAGTATGCACAATTCATTTTTAGTTTTAGTGTATGTGTGGACATGTTTAGCTGTGTGGACATGTGTGCAGGTGTAGATGAGCGTGTGTGTGTGTGTGTGTGTGCATGCGGAGACCAGAGGTTGATTGATGCTGGGCATCTTCCTCCAATCTCTTTCCACCTTGGTTTTTGAGGCAGGATCTCTCACGGAACCTGGATTATGTTGACTTGGCTAGACTGCCTGGACAACAAGCCTCAGGGATCCTCTCATCTTTGCCTCCCCAGTACTGGGACTGCAGGCATTCGCCACCATGCTTGGCTTTTTACCCAATGCTGGATGTACAAATTCAGGTCCCCATGCTTGCATTCCTAGAACTGTACAGACTGAGCTATCTCCCCAGCTCATTTTTTAATATGCTCTTTGTCAGCTAAAAAGTCAATAATAACAACAGGTTTGTGTTGTGGAATATTGCTTTAACAGGACAAAGATGTGTTACATTTGTTTATGGTGCATTTGTTTGACAACGTAAGGATGCATTTTTAATTATGAAAAGATGTGTTGCATTTGTTTCACCTGGCCTGCCCAAGGCATCTGATTAGTTTAATAAAGAGCTGAATGGCCAATAGCTAGGCAGAGAAAAGATAGGTGGGGCTGGTGGGCAGAGAATAAACAGGAGAGAGAAGGAAGAAGGAGAAGAGAACCAGGGAGAAAAAGAGGAACACACCTGGGGCAAGAAACCAGTCAGACATCAGAAGCAATGAAAGTAAGATATATAGAAGGAAAGAAAAGGCCTGGACGCAAAAGGTAGATAAAGAGAAACAGGTTAATCTAAGTTAGAAGAGCTAGCCAGAAACGAACCTAAGCCAGGCCGAGCATCCATAATGAGAAGTCTCCATGTCATGATTTGGGAGCTGGGATTATACTGAGGCTACCAGTCAAACTGGAAACAACACCTTAGCAACACTGAGTCTTTAGATACACGAACACAATGTGTCTTCCACTGATCTACACCTTTGGATTCTTTCTTTTGTATTTATCCATAAATGCACACACGCACGTGTGGCTTTTTTATATCTACACACAAACAATGGATTTTTAGTGCCAGTATACTGCTAGTGTTTCATTAACTTGAAATCCCCATTCTTCATTACAGAGTTGCATTATAGCAACACAAATGATGCTTGCCTATAGATTTTACATCCCACGGCCTTAGTAAGCTGATTAGTTCTGGGAACTTTCTGAAATGTATTATTTTGAACCCCGACACAGGGAATGGGGTTGTATGTAAATAGTTTCCTTTATTTATCAAATGCACCGCCCAGACTTCCCAAGGTGCGGCTGCTGGGAGTGGGAGGGGGTACTTTTGTTTGTTGACATTTGGAGGCCTTCATTCATGCTCACGATGGGGAAGTGGTGTTGGCTGAAGGTTTTCTGAAGTTGTCTTCTACCCTACTTCATTAGCAGGTTTTCATCGCAAGAACTGGCGGGTGGCTTTGCCAATGAAGAGCTTGCTGCACAAGCCTGAGGATCCTAGGGCTTTGGAGGCGCTGACGTGGGGGGTTCCCTGCAGCTCGGTGGCCACTTCCAGGTTTCTCATTAGAAACCTTGTCTCGGATAAAGTGGAGACGTACCCAGTAGATACTTAGCACATATTTGTTGAATAGCAAGAATTGAAGAGTAAATGTTTCATAGTCTGCTTCATGAAGACTGTGAGATATTCAAAATAGCTAGGGAAATGCTATGTGCATTGCAAACACACTCTCAAAGACCATGAAATGCCCGGGTAGATTAAACAGTAAAGGCTGAGTTTACAAGTTTATCATCAGCCTTCCTAGTAAAGGCTGACAGCATGGTCTGACCCACTGCATCCCCCCCAGAGAATGTGAGCCCTGCTCCTAGACTAGCAGGGAAAGTGGATACTCCAGGAGCAGCAGAGGAACCTGAACAGGAGAGGCTTGCACACAAGTCCACAGAGCCGGAGGATACGAGTCCTACCTGTATAAACCACTGGCCGGCATTCAAAGTCGACAGGAAAGTCCAGCTGAAGGTGGCAGTGTGGTTGAAAGCGGCCGAGGGCAGGACCTCTCTGATGTTGGTTGTTCGGCTCAGGTCATAGTCGTGCATAAGGAAAGGCACCGCGTCATAGCTGTGGGCAGAAGGGGAGAGGAGAAGAGGTGCAGAGGATAAACCCAGACACCATGGCACGAATGGTTCCCCAAAGCCCTTCAGGGCTCTCAGATCTCAGCAGGTGTCTAAGTGCCAGCATCTATGCAGATGTCGGCATTTCCCCACCCCAGATGACTCTGTCATGTGTATGTGTTCATACTGATGGTGCTGAAAGAACAGCTTCCTTACTCAGAAAATCCCTGATACCAGGAAAGCAGAATAAGGTGGATAGAAGTGGGGGTCCATGAAGCACACCTCCACATAGGCTTCCTGGGTTTCTCTGGATGTTTTTTCCAGGATGGCAGCTGCTTTTCTAGACACTCTACATCGGATATTATTATAAAGCCAATTCCTGATTCCCCTACTTCCCAGTTGCTTTGTGGAAGCCCCAACTTTATGACTCTCTCCTCCTTTCTCATTAAAATAACCATCAAGAGAATATCTACAATGGTCACGAGATAATAAGGGCTGGTAATCTGTCATAACTATAAAACTGGACAAAATAAGGGGAATAACTATTTAGTCAAAGGACAGTTGGGATTACAGTACTATAGCTCTGAGAAAATGGCATCAAATTAATTCATCTATACCATTACATGAGCTTCCTTCCTGTAGTGAGTAATAGAGTTTATACAAGAAGGGAGAACCCAAAGGGACCAAAATGGGGAGAAAGAGATCAGATGAGGTAAAGAAGCGTTCAGGTTATTGGATAGAGTCCCATGGAGGACGGAGCTATGCAAAGGCAAACAAAACAGTTCCTGACCAATGCACACGGAGTCTACAACTGTCAGTCGACACACATGACACTCCCTGGAGCTGAACAAAAACAATTTTTGGGCGGGTGACACAGCTCGGTGGTAAGGGCATTCACTGCCCAGCCTGACAGTCTGAGTTCAATCCCCACAACCTACTTGGAGGAAGGAGAAAACCGATTCCCACTAGCTGTCCTCTGACCCCCACACATGTGCTGTGGCATGTGTGTGTCCATGCATATACATATATAAACACGCAAGTAAATAAATGCAATAAAAATTATAAGGAAAAAACTTTCAATAAAAGGAAAATTATCAGAATCTCGCAAGTTTCAGAACTCATGTGAGGTGTGACTTAGTCAATTCCATCCAGCAAGAGAGGAGAGACCTCAGCAAGTGCATGGGTATCCTTTAGAGACTCCAGAAGGCCATGCCTTCGAGAGGAAGATGACTTAGAGCTACAACAATGGACAGTCACTGAAGTGCCTCCAGAAGACAGCTTATGACTGCCTCCAAAGGATCAGACTAGTTAGAAACAGCTTATGGACCTGCTAGGAAAAAGTCCAACATTCTTCAAAGGAATCCAGCAAAGCATAGCCCCATCCATGTGAAACCGCAGAGTCCAGCATACATTAAAACCACAATGGAGATGTAAAGACGCAGGAAAACGTGAAATCCCTTGACAGAGGCAAGCACAGAACGAAAGGTGACAGGATCAGACAAAGGTGTTAAATGATACAGAATAACATTATGAATTCTGAAATACATGCAAAGGAAACATGAATATAAAACATGAACGTAGAGCCAACTCTGATGGCATGACAGTCAGGGAGATCAGGAGGGGGAGGCAGGAGATGCCAAGTTTAAGGCCAACCTTGCCTACAGGCAACAGCGTTTGTGTGTGTGTGTGTGTGTGTGTGTGTGTGCGTGCTCACACAGACGTGTGTGTGTACATAAGTGTGTGTGCACGCATGTGTGTGCACGCATGTGTGTGCAGGATAGAAGGAAGAAATGGAGGTTCTGGTGGTTAAAACTATAATAACAACTGAAAAGTCTGCTGGATGAAATTGACAGCTGAGGCTGGGGAGTGGCTCAGTTGGTGAAGCACTTGATGTGTGAGCCTGAGAATCTGAGTTAAGGTCCCTGGCACCCACATAACTCTCGCACTAGGAGGTGGAGACAGGCAGACCCTGGGGGTTCCCTAGCCATCCAGTCTGATCTAGACAATGAAATTCAGGTTCCGCAAGAAAGCCCGTATAAGGCAGGAATCTAGAAAGTGAGGGAGGAGGACATGCCGATGTCACCTTCTGCTCTCCACGTATGGCACACGGGTGAACACTTGTACTACTACCACACGCATATGTAGGACATATCTCCGAAGAGCAGTGAATGCCAAGGTGCAGCAACAGAGCGAAGCATGGAGCCCAGGAGCTCTGGCCCAGCCAAGAGGGTGTGTTATCTTCAGCTCCAGTAACTGGGACAGCCCAGGCTACTCCTCTGTTAAATTGAATGCTCAATTTTCTGTTTGCCTCACTGAATACATTCACAGTAAAAATGAAGCCTTCCTACTTCCTAAGTTGCCTAGATGTATAAATTCTACAGTGATGCACCCACACACACACACACACACACACACACACACACCTCGTTCCTGGACCCGCTCTAATCCAAGCATCCCTTTGTCTTTCTTTGAACCATTACTACACCCTGCTACCCAACACCTTAATAATTCTTTCCAAAGCGTATAAAAAAAAAAAAAAAGCAACAATGGACTGGGGTGTGGCTCAGTGGCAAAGTGCTTTCCTGGCATGCATGACCCTTGAGTTTGATCCCCATCATTATAAAAAGAAAAATAAACCAAGCTGGGGGCTGGAGAGAGGGCTTAGCAGTTAAGAGCACTGGCTGCTCTTCCAGAGAAGCCCGGTTCAATTCCCAGCTCACAACTGTGTGTTACTTCAGTTCCAAGATACCGTCATGCCAATACACATAAAATAAAGTTAGATAAATTATTTTTTTTTTTACAAACCAAGCCAGACATAGTGATACACACCTGTAGGTGCAGCACTAAGGAGGTAGGGGCAGAAGGGGCAGAAGTTTACATCATCCTCAGCTACACAGTGAGTACAGAGCCATCTACACAAGATCTGGCTTCTCAAAACAGAGATGGTGAGATGGCTCAGTAGCCGTGGGACCTGTCACCAAATGTGTCAGCCCAAGTCTGTTCTCTGGGACCCACATGATGGAAGGAAAGAACCAATTCCATCCTCTGATCTCTATACACACAGCATGGCACCCATGTACAAGCAAGCAAACAATACTATAATAAAATTAGAAAACAAATGCAAAGAAACAAATCAACAACAACAAAATCACAGGCCCTCCAGCCTCTGACACCTATCCTGGCTGTCCATGACACATTCAGGGAGCTCTGTGGTTTGTGTTTGCTCATTCAGATGCCTTCGTCTGGAGTGCCCCATCTCTGGTCAGCAAAATATCTTCCTTTAAGGTTGGCCCAGACATAACGTTGAGTACATACAGATTTTGTCTTTCACAGAATAGGAGGCATCCTTCCCCTGTACGGAGACTCCTGGCCTTACTCTGTCACCTGTGACTGTACCACACCTCCTATACTGGCTGGGAAGGAAGCACGACCGTAGCTTACCCGGTGGCATCTGCTGAACACGCAGAAGGTAGCCTAGAATATCCCAGGTATCTAGGCAGATGCCTGGGGATCGCTAGTAAGCAAGTTCCTAAGCTAGTGCACGGGGTCAGGGGACAAGCATGGTTTGCAATGGAGACAGATGTGACTCGTGTGCTTTGTGAGCCTGTGGTGAAGAACAGGGATGTAAAGGGAGACGGGGCTCATATATGTGGCAGACATGAAAAAAAAGTCTTCAAGGCTTGTTCTCTTTACGCCTTGGGCCTAGCTGGTCCTTCCCGTGACACCAGACAAGTCCCCTCTTGCCCCCGATCCCAGTCCCTACCTTAAGTATACATCAGTCTCCAGGCCGGAGGCACCATGTTCCACGGCCTTCTCAAAGGACATCATGGTATTCTCTGGCGCCAGCTATGGAAGAAAGGAATATCAAGCCTTGTGCCTTAGAGTCTCTCCTCCCAACATTTCTCTTATGGCAGACATAGAGCTTGGGGATGGAAGGGCTTTAGAAGCAGACTGGCTCCTGGAGCTGTCTCTTCAAAGAGGCTGACCGTTGCCCTATACCCGGTCTTGGCTCCTGGAGCTGTCTCTTCAAAGAGGCTGACCGTTGCCCTACACCCGGTCTTGGCTCCTGGAGCTGTCTCTTCAAAGAGGCCTGACCGTTGCCCTATACCCGGTCTTGGCTCCTGGAGCTGTCTCTTCAAAGAGGCTGACCATTGCCCTAACCCGGTCACACACTGGGCGCAGTGCAGGGAAGGTGACAGGAGATAAATGCACACAATTAACCCCGCAGTCTCGTCATGTCAAGACCCTCCTTCCTCCCCAGGTCTCTGATGCTTCTGAGGCTCCCTTCTCCATCCCATGCCCCCCACACCTGCACCCACCCGTGCTCACTTTGCTCAGACCTACCATGGGTGCGCCTCTGTGTCCAAAGAAGGTAGGCTTAGGCCCTAAATTCTCCTTCTTCAGAACGCAGGGAGAATAAATCCCCAGCGGCATCAAGTAAAGACACAAAAGAATGATCAAGAAGGGGAGTCCAGCAGCTACCTGTAGAGCTGAAAAGGTTGAGGGGAGAAACATGGGTAAAAATGAAAGGCGGGGTGGAGACCCGTTCCAGACAGCTAGCTAGCTACCCCACAGCAGCAGCTGGTTCACTTTCTGTTTCTGTCACGCCCTCCCTTTCGGGGTTTAGATATAAATACCCAGAATTGTTCAGATACATGACTTGTTTTCAGTGCTGGGTATTGAACTGAGGCCCTATGTGTACAAGTGCTCAACCACTAACCTGCATTTCAGAAAAAGACATTATTAGGGCAATATTGCTGTAACGTGGAAGTAAAAACGGAAAAACTGGAGGAAGGGAGAAAAGGGAGGAAAGGAGGGAAGGAGGGACAAGAAGAGCCTCTGGGAGGAGGAGCTTGGCTGGTTCTGAGACTGAAGACTGTCCTGAGAGACCCTCTAGCTCAGGACAGAGCGGTACAGGTGAAAAGGCGCTGACAGAAATGTAAGTTCAAGGCTGAGCTCCATCATTTCTGACTGAAACCGAGGACTTCATCCTCTTTCTGTAAATTAGGTCTGTCTGGCAGCCGAGTTAACCTCACAGAGCTGTGACGACAGTGCTCACTCATACACGCTGACAAACACTAGCTTTGTTTATATCCCTTCTTTCTCGTCTTTACCTACAGACCTCGCCCACAATCATCTCCCACACCACAGTCCATCCTTGATTCCGTCCCAACACCTTCTCTTTTAGACCCCTGGGGATCCCACCCACTTGTACTACCTATGTGCTTCAGCAAATTGCGACCTCCAGGTCTAACCTTTTAACCTTGTGAATATATTACATGTCTCCAGGACTTCGTGCTCGTAACCTGCCATTCTGTATCTTCTTATTCTAACTAAAACAAAGAAAGTAGTTTATTAATGTTCCCTTTAAGCTCCTATCTGAGGAATATATTCTAAAATTTACTACATACACAAGCATGCACACCCACACACACACGCCCACACACCCACACACCCACCCACACACACATGCGCACACACACCAGCACCACTACGAAACCAGCCCTTCACTAGCCTCCATACAAGCCAGGAAGCAAGTGCCTTTCATCTGACCAGTGGTGGAAGAGAGATGTGGAAAGCAGACCCTACAGCTTACTGTCTTGTTTCCACAACACCGCAAAAGAACAGAGAGCACACCAGCTTCAGAGGCAGTCACTCCTGCTTCTTTAAGTTCCTAGGTGTGGCAGGGGTCACGTGGGATTTCTCTGAGTTACCTGATGTAACCAAAGATCACTGGGCATAGTATTAACTGAAATCCACGATGTCTGTGTATGAACAGGCTAAGTCTTACAGAAGCACTCAGGTCAGGGCAAAATCGAGATGTCCTCTGCTGTCCCCTCTGTCCCAGATAAACGGTGTGCACCAACAAAGGGGAAATGATGCTTTCCTAACAGAATCTTTCTCAGAAGAAGGAGGGCTTAGGCCTACAAATACTATGGTAGACCACAGGAGTCAGAAACTGAGACCATGAAGAGCCTGCCTACCTAACACACTAAAGAGCTTTCAAAGAGGCACAGCTCTGTCTCTGAGTGGAGGATACGAGCTGGGGAGATCAGGCAAGGTTCCACTTCACACGACATACCTTCCGATTCCAAGTGGGCCATACAGATGGCTAGGGGCCAGGAAAGAAGAATCATCACAGTTATGAGGCTCAGGTGCAGAAAGGGAGCAAAGATCTGGGGAAAAGCCAAGAGTCAGACTCGACACATCTGGACACCGTGATGAGCAGTCCAGGCTGGTGCTCACCTGCAGTGACAGCCCAGCTATCAGCCACTTGTCCGTCCAGTATCGGTTTAGAACATACAGTAAGAAGGAGCACAGCAGGATCACCAGGAAAACGAAGACCTGGGGAAACAAAGGCGCCAGATGTGGATCACAACTGTCCTGGGCATTGCACGCCATTATTTAGGCCACCTCAGCAAGGGTGGCTCCAATCAAGTCGCCTTCGCTGTTCCCAAGTGTGTGCTGTGTAGCATGGCTGGAAGGCATCACACAATCGTGTGGCTTGCTGCAACCGCCAATCTCACATCTCCACCCTCTGCCTTTGCAGTTCTTTCCATCCTTAGCCAGCCGCCCATTTCCAGCAGCAGGTCATTACCAACCTTTACCTCCTCTTTGACTATTTCTTTTAAAGGAAGTACAAGCCAAGATCTCAAATACACGAATGCAAAATTACTGGTCTATCAGAAAGCCAAATGAATCACAGCAGTTGGACTGCGGAATTTACCTCTTATCCAAACCCAAACTTTACACATGATTTAAAAGGGCACAAGCAATCATAAAGTACAAATAAATTATTTCCCTTGGGAAATCTAGTCACGTAAACACAGCTACTCATGAAAGGTCTTTCTTCCAGGCCCTCTGAGGTGTGTTTTGAGACGAGTGTATAGAAATGCTGCTTCACAGAAGGAGCCCTGTTGTGTGTGGCGTGTCCTTATCCGTCACTCCACCCACTGTACAACTCCAGGGAGTCCTTCTGCTGCCGTGAGACCTGTGTGCTCCAGGCTGATTTAAGGTAAAAGCACCCAAGGTACATTAAGTCTAGCTGGCTAGACAATTTCACAGAGACATCCCATTATTGCTAGCTCACTGTTACCTTAGGGTTTGTTTTTTAAATAAGGAAATCAAGTTATAAGCATTCATATGAGGAGTTTTGACTCATCACTGCAAGATGAAGTGCTCTCTGGGTATCCCTGGCTGATTAAGAGATTCTAGACCTGTTGCCAATCCTACCCCTTCTGGCTTATTCTGAAAAAGGGTAAGAGTCAACCTCCAAGCCCCCAAGAATCCCCCTTGCCAATAGAAACAGACTCCATAGGGCTTGCTTGCGCTGATTTGAAGGCCTAACCAAAGTAACTACCTTCTAAGGAAGGTCACCTCCTGCCATAATCCCCTTCATCTCTTCTCATTGTCCACAGATTCATACTGCAATTAGATCCCAAAATAGTCCAGGACAAGAAAGTTGAGAAAAATGGCAAGAGTTTATTATTTGAATGAACAAAAAAAGTCCCACTGAAGATGTCTTGGAATTAAGTCTAAGGATGATGCTAGACAAGAAGGAAGCATAATTTTAAACCAATCTAATTTAGCCAAGCAGCAGTGGTGCATGCCTCTAACCCCAGCACTCAGGAGGCAGAGGCAAAGGCAGGCGGATCTCTGTGAGTTCGAGGCCAGCCTGGTCTACAAGAACTAGTTCCAGGACAGGCTCCAAAGCTACAGAGAAACCCTGTCTCGAAAAACCAAAAAAAAAAAATAAATAAATAAAAAATAAAAAAATAAAAAAAGAAGCAGAAACAAGCAAACAAACAAAAAGCCCAGTCTTACTCCAGTGATATGAAACATATATCAGAGATTTTCATTTCAGAATACCAGAATCTAATATTAAACAATGTTTTGTTGTCTGAAACTGGCTCAACAGTCACTATATGTATCCAAAAGAGGTAGGTAGAATAAAAAGCTCACTGAAACCTAGAACTTAACTGGACATGAGCATTCTTACTTAGAGGCTAACAAAATGATGTCCTGCTGACTGCATATGTAAAGGCAGCTAGGATAAATCTGTGCTAGGATTTAGCTGAGAGTTTAAGCCTCCTCTGTTTCTGACTAAAGATGTTACTGTCCTTAATGAAAGTGGGATGCCAACAATTTCTTTGTCAAAGATTTAGTGAGAAGGGGCTGATGGAATAATACGTTATTTCTATCTTCTGCTGATTAATTTGTGAGAGTGTCCAGCATCTAAAATGGACGGCATTAGCAACAGGCCTTTCCCCCTCTTTTTATATACATTCTTTCCATGAACAAGTTTACACTTCCATTTGAGTAAAAGGAGACTTAAGGAGGCCACTGGAAAGACTTGACACGCTCCCAGTCCTGAGAAACACTAGCACGATGTCGGCGCCGTACCCGAGGGAGTCTACAAAGAGGAGTGTGCCACTGGACCTGGTCCAGCCCGCAGCAGGACAAAGTCAGAGACTCCATGGTGCAAGGATGCTATTGGTCCACAGAGAGAGGGAACCAGTGATGCGCTTTCTGAGAGAAGCCATGGTAGTATCATTTGAAAATGGACTCAAACCAAGGAAAGGCCAATCAGACCTTAAAGGAGAAAGTGGGCACTGAACCAAGAAACATGTCAAGAGGAAAGAGCCACTACCTTCTCCACCATGACAGGCATAGGCAAGCGAGGCCCAAATAGAGGAAGCAGAATGCTTGGATCTGCGAGATCGGAGGCGGAGTTACTATGGAGAGCAGAGAGCGACCGCGCAATGGCTGAACCGGAACGGAACGCTGCTGTGATGAGAAGGGAAGGTGGAGTAAGACATCTGCCGGAGACGTCACAGGGACAGGGAGGGGGTGTGAGAGAAGGCGGGAATGTACTCATCTCAGTTAAAACTGCACAAGCAGGTCTGTCAGGGAGCAGTGAAAGAGGGCCAGCTACGCGTATAGCACTGAGCCGTGGGAACCCCTGCCACTCTGTGGAGGGCCTCCCGTGAGGACTGAACGCTTACCTTATGACACGTATGCAGATATAGTTCAATCCTTTCCCAGAGTAAAAAAAAGCTGAGTAACTGCAAAGCAAAGAAGGCAAGGCGGTTATGTTATCTTTAACTGACTAGGTCCTACCCCAGCAGTGCGGAGCTCAGGGCCCTTCACAATGGGCGCCCATGCACTGCTGAGGCTACTTTTTTTTTTTTTTTTTTTTTTTTTTTTTTTGTTTTTTTTTTATTTGG